TACAGATGTAGGTTTTAATATTAAATAGAGAAATTCGACGTACTATAAAACTTAACGGATGACAACACGATATATATATATATATATATATAGATAAGAGTGAAATATTTTGAATAGATAATTACTAACATTTAATGCTTCTTTTTCCAAGTTTAGTAACCAGCAAGGAGTGTTAAACCTAATGAAAAGGTTAGATCGATTTCCTTTTCGAACACCTTCCGCCATTCATCCCCCATTGTTATTTCCAGACAAAATGAGTCCGCTTCGTGCAAGTGACGTATACAACTTGTCAATTATCCAGTAAAGAGACACCGTGGGTAAATTCACCTGTAGTTTAGTATTTCAGAAGAAAAAAGAAAAAAAAAACTTTTACAGGCGTGTCACAGCACGTTTCGCACGGGTTCGTTGACCTGATAACTTTTGGACAGTGCACTGTCTGGAACACAGATGTCGTAGTAAATTAACAGGTTTAGTATTTATGATTATTTCTTTGTTAGCGATAAGAGACTAGAGAGCAATTCATTACATCCCTGATGATAAATGGATAATATAATTAACTATACTGGTCTGACTGATATAGCTTGAGGCGACTTAGTGGTTGTTTATTTACATCAATCTGACGCATAAAGGTAATCTTATCTATGTTTACTCATCATTCAAATGACAGTAAAAACAATGTGCAGGGTTGTTAACCTCTTTCTAACCCGACTGAGCTATTAATGTGGTCATTTTAGTAAAATGATCCCTTTATACTCAAGCTAAAACATTAAACTGTTACTAAAGTTTTACTTTAGGATTCCTGGTTTTGATTTCGTGTGTGTGTGTGGTTATTTATTCTAGATATATACATAGTATATAATTATGTAACCAAGAACTGAGCAATGAATAATAAGGTAACCAACAATTCAATATCATTAAATCTTTCATCAACTTATGTATCTAATCATACATACATATATATATATATATATATATAGTATTCTTTACAGAAAACTGTTGGATAATCTGAATGTTGTATCAAATAGGACAACTGTCCTGATGAACTCGGTTTACTAGCATTCAAATCATCAGTCTCAATTCTGCCTTAAAGTTGATTGTCCTTAAACAAACTGAATATGTCCCGAATGCCCGTATTTTTACAGATGACTTAGGTTTCTTTCACCCTATCACGAGATGCCTCGGACGAGCTGTGCATGATGAAGAAGATCGCTCAATTTAGGTCAGTTTACCTAGAGGCTCTATAGCTCCAGGGAGAGGTGGATAAATAGAGCAGAGTAGCACGCTGCTGTTTGTAGTTGTGGTATGGTTCTATCTATATCTGCGGTTATGAGTAATATTTGCAACTAAAAACAAGTATTATTAGTGAGGAACGAGTTAATACACGAGTTGCTAATGCATGCTTGAAGTTCAAAATAAAATGTTATTTTAAATTACGAGAAATCGTTTGGTAACTTTCGAACCTAAAAATTAAAGAAACAAAAACACGTGACCTACTTGTTAGAATTGAATGAAATAAACATTCCGTATTCTAAAATACTGTTCGGTGAACAATCAGACGCATCTGGTCTACTTTTCTCGTCTGAACGCCTTTATGTTAAACAGAGAAATTGTATATTAACGAGCGTTAAGAAAATGTTCATTAAGGGACAAACCTTATTCCTTCATCAGCTGAGAATTGCATTTCGAGCTATATAATCTCCTAGTAGTCCAGCTAGGTAAATGATGAACAATCTTAGCTACCTAATTGGATCTAGTTATTTATGCAGCTTAGTTAAGCTGAAAAAGAGTTCATATTGCTCGACAAAGTAGTCCTAAGCTTGTCATGGTATTCTTATTTGATCTCTTAATGTGAGGTAATATATTATACTTTACACGGAAATCATTAATACCAAGTGTGGACACACGTAAATGTTAAATCGAGATGCGAAAAGCAAGAGGGTATGAAGGAGTGTGTCAAAAAACTATTACTGTCACTTAAGTTTTGATAAAACAAACAAAAAATAAAAGGCACTGATAGGACAAAAGATAACACATTCTTAGACTAAAAGATAAAAAGCGTGTTTTCATCGAGTTGGGGAGGTAAAAGCCACGGAAATGGCTACGAGGTACGGCTGTCGTAGTTATCGTTCATCGCAAAAAAAAAAATGAATGCCAGGTATTAACAAGCAGATTTCAGTAGAAGCTCAAACGCCACGTGCATGACCGCATGGGGCTATCACGGTGATGAACCGGTGTCGAAATTATTGATGTCTTTGGCCCCAAATACGCTAGATGGGCTCTCTCTCTCATTATATGCAAATAAACAAATGATATTACCATTTTAATATAAGAAATAGCCAATGTTGTTAGAAAATAACCTTTATTAACAAAGGAACACAGAACTAACACAAGGCTTACATTTTAACATAAAATGGTATGTTTTCTAACCACCTTTTGATCAGGAAGCACAGTGTATTGTCTATAACCAAAAAAAAAAGATAATTACTGTTTGCAGAATACAAGGCTTCGGAACATGTTTGGTTAACCAGAAAGATGCGCCAAGTAACGCGTATGTAACAGATGCAACAAAAGTTAGATGTAACAAATGTAAAAATTATAGGTGATAACCATAGCAACAGAAATGACAAGTATCGCTAATGACAGCCTGAAACTAAAATGAGTAGAAAAAAGAAAAAAAAAACAGTGGGGAAAAAGCAACAAACAAATACGATAATACAATAATGTTTTAAAAATGAACAAACTTCAGTCTGATTGTTGCGAAAGTAAGTGCTAATGGTATTTGATTACGAAGTCCGCAATTTCCCCAATTTACCAGTCGTGATACTATAAATATCCCAAGGTATCATAACTTTGGAAATTATTAATCTCCTTATTCGCTGTTTATTTATTTTTCATTTTGATTGGTTAATGTATTAGTTTCATCAAAGCTGTATTCGTATTTCACGTTTATTCGGAAATTTAATGGTTTAGCAATATTCAATCTTGTCCAAACTCAAAGTAAGTAGTAACCACTCATTTTCTAAATTTAATTCATATGTTTTCGAATTCCATCAAGTTATTCAATAAATTTAGCAACCATTAATTCCTTCACGCACAAGTGAAAAAAGGGGGAAAAAGGACATTACACTGTAAAACACCTATTGTTATATAAGATTAATTAGGTTTTATCTCTGACTTCATATTATATTACTTAACACAAAAGTTCATCTAACAATTTGAAAGTTTAAATGTTGCCTTCTTGGGGGGGGGGGGGGGGCAAGCACAAAAGTTAGTGATTTTGCGTGCCCGGACCGTTAATCGAAATGCTTATGGTTTGCGTTCCGTTAGTGCAAAAAGACGCTCCACACTAAGGGACTGTGGGCGCACTATTAGAGCGATGGCTAAATCCTAGTATAAATATGATCAGGCAAAAATAGTCCAAAAGTTGGCGGCGGACGCTATTGCGTAGCTGCTTTCTCTCTTGTCTATCATTTTACAATTACGGACAGCTATGCACGGATAATCCTTGTGCAACTTCTATAAATTAGTTTTAACGACAGCTAGTTTTGGCTTGAGTGAATGTAAGTGTATACACGTTTCTATTTGGCGTAACGTTCGGATTCGTAAGTATGATACGGAAAGCTGGCTAAGCTAAACAATAAGTTATAGCACAGACCACCAATTTACAACATATAAACCCACTCTTCGGAAATAGAATTCTGTATTAGTGTATTTGTGTTAGTACAATAGGTAAAGAACTGATTTCTTAAACAAAATAGTCTGAAAAGTGCCTCGAACTAAATGTAGATACAATCAAGTTACTTAGTAAATATAGACCAATCACTGAACGTGTAGGCGTATAACTCGGGAAATCACCCTCTTTCTACCGAGAAGGACTTCTTTAAAGACCGGTAAACCACCAAATCTTGTCCAAGCACTACCCAAACGGGCGGGCCATATTAACTCACAGGCTGCAATTGGTAGGTAGATCTGGTCTGGTCTGACCATTTGTTTGCCGCTTGTATGAAACTTATAATACACGAGCAAAAACAACTGTACAAAACTACTCACAGGAGGAAGAGTTTAAAATAATAATATGCAAAAATAAACAAACTTGGACTAGGTAGCATGGCTAAGTTAACTTTTAAGTCTAATAACGTATGAACTCGAATCTTTGATTTCGATCACGGTGCTCCAAAAAACACAATGTCAACTTTCTCAGATATTTAACGTCTCTTTATTGACTATGTAGAATGTGTAAGTTTTTCCAATTCTTCAAGCTTGAAATTATATGTTTTGAAATTAGAAACGGAAGTGAGTACTCAAGCCTTTATCTAAACTACAGCGTAATTTCTGTAGCCGGCTGTGGAAAGATAATTAAATCCAACGATATAGGAGAGAAATGAAAAAAAGAAATATATATAAGAGAAAATATTATTAGACAAGCTATTAAAGACAGACCAATGGGGTGATGAGTAGCAAATATATTCTGAAGCTATAATTGACATTTTATATAAATGATGCAATTAATCTCCATTAAATACTTTTAGTAGGTTTTTATTTTACGAATAAAGAAGTATTGAATAACGTTCGAAGTTTGAAAGAATTAATCTCTAATAATACTAGTTGTTTGAGAAGAATTACTGCCTGAAAATACTTAATGATTAAAGAGAGAAAAATCCCTAGTAATTACACGTTTAGAAATAATTAATCGTCAGTAATTCTTGATATTTGTAAATGCTTAATTTATTCAAATCAATTATCGGTAATCTGTATAAATCTTTGGGCACTAATTATTCCATTAATTCTTGAAATCTATAGCAACATGTTTCGGCCATTATTCATTTACTTTTATTAAATGATGACTTATTTCATAAAATATCCAAAAAGCTGCTTCCAAAAATGAGACAGATATTTACCATTATCTTGTGATTCTGGATCACTAGATTGCTTTTCACAGAAACTTTCAGTGTCTTTTTCATTTCTCTTGTTATCATCATCAGTTTGGTGCATGTCCTTCGTCTTGTTGCTTAGCAGTTGGTCAATGATGCTGGTTAGGCGACTCTCTCGTTTGGGTTCAGGACTTGTACTAAAAGAAGAGAGTTTACTTAAAATTGTGTAGAATAATAAGCATGAGCAATCATATTTAGCATTGTTCTTTGTCTTATTCTGTTCGATAATATCAACTAGCTAATCTTGAATAATGAAAGGAAGAAGGCGTTATTAAAACACGAATACACAACTAAACGTAGGCACACAAGTTAGCACACACACACATGCTGTTCCTTTTATGTTGTCGCTTAGCAACTAGTTGATGATGCCGCTTACAAGGTTCTTTCTATTTGGACCCAGGACTAGTGCTCAAAAAGAGGGAATCATTACAATAGTATATCTCACTAATTAAAATAAACCCATGTGTTAAATGTTAATGCGGACATAATAAGGAAAATGAGGATTATGAGTAAGCCTCTAAAGATAGTTAACATTTTTACTCTTGCCATATGAAGAGTCATAACGAAATGGGTGAAGCTTTAAAAACTTTATCCGTTTTGGAAGTCATAACGAAATGGGTGAAGCTTTAAAAACTTTATCCGTTTTGGAAGTCATAACGAAATGGGTGAAGCTTTAAAAACTTTATCCGTTTTGGAAGTCATAACGAAATGGGTGAAGCTTTAAAAACTTTATCCGTTTTCGAGGTATAATGAACTTAATTACAAATTATAAGTTTTCAATGTTCTCTAAGTTGTTTATCCCAGATATTGTACACCCGATACTGACCTGGTAGATGGCGCTGTTTCCAACGTTTGAAAGTTTTTGTTACCAATGTTCGAGAAAGTTTGCCTCTTTGTTTTAGAGAAAATGTGGGCAATTTTTGGATATCTACTTTTAATTTTCTCTTCAAGCTTAATATTGGCATTTTTTATTTCTTTTTAGCCTAATCTATAAAATTGTATATTTTACTTTTAAAAGCACTTCTTGCGAGCTTCTAGCCTTACTATATTAATTATTTACCTCAAACCTCAAGATTTTTACACATGATATTCGTACTTTAATAATTTTGACAGTTGAAAGTCAAAGTAAGAACGTTTTTATTTATCATTTACAAACGTTATCATTCAAGAATAGTTTATAATTTACGTATACCCATCCCGACATTTGAACTAATTGACTAGAGGAAAGGCAGCTAGATAGTCAACAGCACCCGCAGAAAAATCCGTATTCTACTTTCGTGCAACAGAAAAGTGAGATTTTACAGTCACTTATAGAAAACCTACGCCTCCACAGTGCGCATCACGGTTTTGCGTCAAAGAGACGTGTATCATGCATTCTAGATTCACAGTAGTCCATGCATGCTAACCACCAGGCTACGGCCGACCCTCATATTTTGGTAAACATATACTGATGATGTAATAGCTATCAAACACTATATTGTTGTTCAGATAATTATTAATATGTATCCCAATACATATGCCCACTAGTTGAGACAGCAATACTACTTCTTTGTTTAGATCAGAAATGGACATTAATTTTAATAACCAAACGTAAGTAAACGTAAATCCCAAATCCCCAGTTTTCTATTATCATCTTGTGGGTCGTGGTTTCGAATTCCCGTCCCACCAAACATGCTTGCCCTTTCAGCCGTGGGAGCGTTATAATGTGACGGTCAATCTCACTATTCGTTGGTAAAAGAGTAGCCCAAGAATTGGCGATGGGTGATGATCACTGGCTGTCTTCCTTCTAGTAATTCACTGCTAAATTAGGGACGGCTAGCGCAGATAGCCCTCGTGTAGTTTTGCGCGAAATTCAAAAACAAACAAATCATCTTGTGGTGAACTGTTTATCTTTATTTTATAACATTTTGATCGAAAGACCCAAGTGTAGATTTTAATAGCTGTCAAGTTTATATTTTGTTTCATGCTTCAGGTACTGCGGCATATATTTAGAACCCGCCCCCCTCACACACACTCACAAATATATTTGTATGAATACAAAGACACTACGTTTGCAGCGTCATGCACCGAGTCTTTCCCAAGAAAAATATGTTTATCTATTCTGCAAGGTATGTCGACATCACAGTGCACGCGATATTCGAAACATTAGGCAGACAAAAAAAAAGTACTTGAAAGACTGCAACCTCATTGTGTCAGGGAGGTCAATATGATTGCATTGGTCTTGAATAAGATGTTGGAATTGTGAAATGCTGCTATTTTATGAAGGGTATTTCTTTCTCTCTACCAGTAAATGATCCAAATAAAGGAATGTGCATATATAAAAACTAAATTCACACATTCTGTAGTGGAAATCGTTCTCTCAATATGAAGATGGGCGAGATGTCAGAGAAACATCATCTCAGCAGGTAGGAGTCCCTTGTAACTGTAGAATGTGAGCTATGCAAACTGAAGAAAAAATACTATAAACGAAAGGCTCTCATCAAGTTAACACGGTGGCTCATTGTACTGTAATAGAACTAGTCAATAATTAGTTGTAACTTAAAAAAATGCATAATGTCTTTTAAACATCACATAGACTACAGGAAGGCTGGGCAGCTTCACTCTCCTGATGACCGGAAATAAACACCTTGGAAGAAACTACCATGAGTTTATTTACAAACAAAACCATCTACTGGATGAAAAAAAAAACCATATATGACAGCATGCTAACTTATTAATGTTTGTAAATAAACTCATGGTAGTTTCTTCTTATTACTGTTTGTAAATAAACTCATGATAGTTTCTTCTTATTACTGTTTGTAAATAAACACATGATAGTTTCTTCTTATTACTGTTTGTAAATAAACTCATGGTAGTTTCTTCTTATTACCGTAAATGTATTTGTTTGTTCATTGCATATCACGCAAAGCCACACTAGGGCTATCTGCGCTAGTTGTCCATAATTTTAAAGTGATAGACCAGTGGTAAGGCAACTAGTCAACACCATCCACCGCCAACTCTTGAGCTACTCTTTTTCCGACCAAATAGTGGGATTTGACCGTCACTCTTATAGCGCCCCACGGCCCCGAAATCAGAAGTGTACGTTTGCGGCACAGGTCGCGAAATATGAATCCTTGGATTCATAGTTTAGGTACACTAACGAATAGGTCACGTCCAGTCCGCTATTTGATACACAACATAGCCGTTAAGTACATATGATATGTCCCCCAATGGCACAGTGGTATGTCTGCGGATTTACAACGCTAGAAACCGGGTTTCGATACTCGTGGTGGGCAGAGCACAGATAGCCCACTGTGTAGCTTTGTGCATAAATTCAAACAAACAAACAAAAACATATACTATATATGTAATAGTGCAAGAGCTTTATTTCTGACATATATGATAATAACAACTTATAGAGCTCTGATACTGAATTGAAGCTTTTACTTTTTAACTTAGTGACATATTTGTAGAAATCAACAATTTTGGTGTCATTAAGATTTTCATTTACGCTACAGAAAACTTAGAATACGTTATCATAGGTTTGTTTGTTTCTTATTAACCACATAACTATACAATGAGCTATTTGTGCCGTGCCCACTGGGTGTATCGAAACCAAATTTTAGGGTAATAAGTCCTCAACTTACCGCTGAGCCATGGGGGCGTTATCATAGGAATTGAAGACGTTTGGTGTTCTTTCTAACTTTCTTAAACTCTTTCAATTTGATGGTATATTACTACAAACAAACAGTATTTATGTGCGCCGCTACACTAAAAAGGCAGTAATAACCAATGGTTAATAACAACAGAGTGGACATTCTTTAGTATTAAACGTTCCAGTTAAAGATCGTTTTTCTATGTGAGAAAATAGATGTGATTGGTTATAAACAAGCTGAAATTATTACCGTGTTTGATGAGACGACTAAATCAACGATATTTCTATTCTGCCAAAGAGCCGTAGCCAATATTATTTTGAACTACTTTACTTCCTTGTTGTTTTGAGATGATTCGAATTCGCAAATATCTGCTAAATCAACTGTTATAGTAGATAGATGGCTAAGTCAAGAAAGCTTCAACGAGCATGTCTACAAGTTTCCTGTCGTGGCGTCCCCTGGTGGGTCAGCGGTAAGTTCACGTACTTACAATACTAAAATATGGGGTTCATTTCCCCGCGGTGGAACAGACCGTAGATAGCCCATTGTGTAGCTTTGCTCTAAAAATCAAACCAAACTTGTCGTGGCAGGAGGAAGCAGTAAAACGTATATTTATCTTTCTCTGGGAGGATTCAGGTTAATCCGTTAGGAGTCACAGCAGGTGAGCCTAAAAAAAAACAAAACAAAAAAAACGAACCTCTATATCTAGGGGGATAACGAAGGCAGAAAATGGATGCATCTAAATAGATAGAATTACGCTGTTTTTATACTCAAATCGATTACGTGTGTTAAGATATTCTTAAGCGTCTAGTTACGACTTTAATGATAAAATAAAATAATTAAGAAGCATCATAGTTATTTTTTCGTATGCTAAAATGAATTAATCTATTTAAGCATCATATGTAACATTATATAGTGGAAATATCCATCAAAGTTGTGTATTTAATTAAGGATGAGTTTGTTTCTCGCGCAAAGCTACACGAGGGCTATCTGTGCTAATTAAGGAAGTGAAAATTCGACCCAACCCTTTTAAGTCAGATGCCTTTAGAGTTCAGGTTGGTGTGTAAATGTTCGTGAATTCTATATGATGGTCCCCCGGTGGGTCAGCGGTACGTTTAAGCATTTGCAACGTAAAAATCCGAGGTTATATTCTTCGCGATGGACATAGTGCAGATAGTTCTCTCTGAAACAATGCAGTCTAACACAGTCGTTACATTTTACATATCTTGAGTAGAAAATATTAAAATATGTCTTTGGCGCTCTAGTTGTGAACATACAAAAACTTCTCGAATACTGTGATTATGAAACTACATGATAATATAAAAAGGACCATATGAGGAAGTGTTTTATTAAGATAAATTAATAATGTAACATACAGTACAAGTCAAACGTCTGATACCCAAAGTGTCAACACTTGAGCTTTTAAAAAAATCGAAAATCTACAGAAGAAAAGCATTGTTTGGATTTACATGTTATATGTATATACTCAATACTATAATATTTCA